CTGAATAAACCATAAGCTAGCTAGCTATTCCGGTTAGAGTACTGTTCAAGCGGGTGCCACAGGTTGAGATGCTGACACACTTTTCCAAGTTCAATTTTTCTACAAAATTGCCGTGTAAATAAATCCGTATCCTTCCGAGATGCTTTTCCATTCCTTAAGGCATTCTTTGTGTATTTTAAAAATCCCAAAGCAGTCACAGTAGTGTCTGTAGTCTTCAGTCTTTTGGCTTCTCTTCGCCTTTCGAGATTCATGGCCGAGACTTTCTTTCTTACTGATACTTTTCTGACACTTCCTAGATCCCTCCAAGTGCCTTCCTGTCTCAGGCGGTTTCTTTTTTCCCATGCCAATCATATTTTTTTCCCCGAGGATTGTTGATTTGTAGAGTCCTTTGCTTGAAACCATGACAAAAAGGTCACCTGCACAGAGAACACCTTTCTATTGCCGGTTACAACCATTTAATTGTTTCTTCCCTACAATGTCAACCTGTCTCTGGTTTACTGTGCCTTTCCGTAGGTGGTTCCAATGCTTAAGACATTCAGCTGCAAACTGAAAGATTGGAGATGTGAGTCTACCCAGAAGTACCCAGGAAGAAATTCCTGGCAATGTATTCTAAAGAAAATGGACCACTCAAACCCCTATGCATCACAGGCCTCCTGTGACACACATTGGATCACCTGAGTTGCATTCAACGCAGTGACAACCAATTATGTCTTGTTTTTGTTTTTTTAACATAAGCTTCAGGAACGTTGGGAATTATTGATCTTCACTTATCTGCTGAGTGCCTAGAATAATAGATGGGTATTACATAAGTAATTAAATGAATGAATAAATAAGTACTTGGAAAAATTTTAGATCCCTCCAGATTCCTTAGCCCTCAAACCTAAAGAGTGGTCTGAGTGGCTTAAAGGAAAAAAGGAGGAACGTGAACCTGAAATGGACTTGGAGTCTTGCGGCAAACAAGTTCACTTCAACCAATAACACAAACAAACAAAAATTATATTAGAGAGAGTCAGGGCATAGTCAGTCATCAAAAGGCGACTAGATTTTCACCTTAAGTACAATAGGTCTTGAAGGATTATTTTCACTAAAGAATAGTAATTATTTTATGTGTGTTTTCATAGGCAAATCTGAAGGCCATGTGACAAAATGAGATGCGTGTGAGCTGGGGGAAAGTTAGGAGGTTATTGCACTGGTTCAGGTAAGCGGAGAAACCGCCAGAGTGGAAAGCAGACAGAGATGGATCACAGTGATTCCGTGAACATCGGGAGCAAAGTGTGGAGGTCATGAAAGAACTGCCAAGAATTGCTCTCATTCTTGATAGGGTGAATGAGCAGATGTTGACATTTTAAATTAAGATAAAAACAGAATGGAAGTATAAAGTCAATAGGGAAAAATTAGAGTATTAGATTATTTTGACCTGCTCACTTTGAGCAATGGTGGCGCAGTGGTTACTCCGTGGGTTGCTAACTACAAGGTCAAAAGTTTGAAATCACTAATGGCTCTGAGGCAGGAAAGCAGGGGTTTCTACCCCTGTGAAGAGTTTCAGTCTTGGAAAACCACAGTGGCAGTTCTACCCTAGAGGGTCAGTCTGAGTCAGAATTGACTCAATGGCAGTAATTTTGGAATTTGTTGTTATTTTGATAAATTTGGCTGTGAATGGTGTTAGCAAAGTTGGAGGCAGTTGGCAGTGATGTGGGCCCAACAGAGCTGTTATTGACAAGCACTGTCTCCTCACCACCCCAAATGACCTGACGATCAACCCCCTTATGTTCTCCTCATAGGACAAAATCCCATTCTCCTTTCCTACGGATTCTGAATCAGTAACTGGGTCAGATCACTCATCACCAGAAAACAAAAATTGAGACGCAATATCAAACAAGCAAAAAGCATATGTTCATGCTAATAGAAATGACCTTGCAGAGAGAAAGAATGGCAATGTGGGAGAGAGGAAAGGATGGAAGAGGGAAACTGAGAAAAGAAAATAAATTGATTACAGGAAATAATGGATATAAGACATACATGCATGAAAAAGGATTTCATTTGAAAAGAAGAGAGACCATTTTTCTCTTAGAACCAGAGGAAAGAGAACAAAAAATGGTGAGATTAGTTTTTTGATTTGCAACTGGAAATTTTCATCCAGTGATTTCTATCCTCTCAATCAAGCATGTGTCAAAAGCATTAGTAAAACATTCAAGTGATAAGAATGAGTTTAATTAATTATCAAATAGAATGGTATAATTCCTGTCAAAGAGGAAAATCAAGTTTCCTAAAGATAAAAAAAGCCCCCAAACTCTCTAGACATTGTTGTCTGGCAACTTGGTGTAAATTATTTTAAGTTTATAATGACATAATGTGTTCAATGTATGTAAAACATTTTTGTTAATAAGCAAAAGAAAAATGTGATTTGAAAACATTTATACCTTGTGACAAAATACATGACCTTTTTGGAAAAAGAGTCAATATTTTCCCTAACGTCATATTTTAGTACAAAATACATGTCATTATGTTAAAATATTAAAACTGGATAGTAGGATAGAATAATATGTTTTAATAAGAATGAAAATCTAGAATTCATAAAATATGTCCATATGAAAATGCTGTGACATAACCAGATATGAAGACGATTTTCTTCCACAAAATGAGTTAAATATTGTTCGGTCTTATTGCATGAGTTATGGCTCGAGTGCCTCTTTTGTGACATGGAAAGAATGGAAAGGGTGGTTCTCTTTGCTGTGGTGGCTGTGGAGCAAAGATCAAAGCCATGTGTTAGGCTCAGAAGGAGGACCGTATGGCCCTGCGAAGGACAGCTTTATCATCTCGTTGGTTGTTAAGCTGTCAGGTGGCTTTCTAAAGGAGTCTGGGTCCTCTCTCTCTGAAAAGAAGGACACAGATTGAAGCTCATTTGATAAATTATCAGGAGGTAATCCTCATTTGAGGATCCATCACTAAAATAAATCCTAGTGACTCCCCAAAGCTTATTTCTAATAAATAATTTATGTTACTTATACAATTTCTCTTTCACCCTTCCTTCTCTTTACAAGTCATAACTACTGATGCTTATACATAAAAATTGCATATTTGAAAAACATAAGGCAGCTCCTTCCCATATACCATCTTTATGTAGTATTTATACATATCATTTAATACTATAGATTTTAAAAACTAGTCATTTTTTATGGTCCTGAAATAGTTCTTAATTTATAAAGTTTAGACTCATTGGGACCCAAAATATTTCTCTAATTTTTGAGATTCATGCACTGAGACTCCTTCCAACATTCACTTACATACAGATATAACCATCATCTACAGAAACTCATGCACTTAGAGGATAATGTTTTAAAAATATGCATGAAAGTATTTTAGGTTATATTTATAGTTGGTTGTTATTTAGTATGGCTTCTAATTTAATTTTCTAAAATTGTAGCTAAATATTAAGAAGTCAAAATAATAAAAGTATACTCAGAAATCACAGAATATAAAATAGCCAGGAACTATATAAAATCATTCAACTTTATATATGACAAAGTAATAGTATAAGTTACAATTGTCATAAATCAGAGAGAAAATGTTTTTCTCAGCCTAGAATGCTAAGAAATGTTCATTCATTTGAGAAGGCTGAAATGAACTTATAAGTTTCCTCTTTAAATCTGATTCTGAAACATAATCAATTAAATTATTTCTCTTCACATATACCCACAGTTACACACTGACTGACATTTAAATAGGTAAAATAAGATGAAAAGTAAGGGATTTAGTATGCATTAAAAGAAGCAACTTTCACTACTATGCTTCCCAGCAAGGAAAATAACAGGGAAAGATGATTTACATGACAGAAAAAAATGGAAAAATATTTCTTGAAATAACTGTTTAAGGACAAAAAACCCATACAAGTGTGAAATAGGCCTCAAGTTATTGTAACTGACAAACTTCTACTCCACCTATCAGGATATCATTGGTTCATTCATCCCCAAGTTATTGAGTGAGCGGTCACAAGCTAAGAGCTGCTAGCTATCAGGAGAAATTAAAAAAAAAAAAAAGGAAAGGAAAGAAAGAAAGAAAACCAAGTGTACTGGCTAATTTGCAAAATTTGAGAAAAATTAAAAAGCTTCTAGCGCAGCATATCTTCAAACTTAAACCTGTTTTTCTCTTATGTGCTCAATGAGAATGTAAAGCATCAAACAGGGCAGCTGTTCCTTATTTTTCCCTAAGAAACACCAAATACATTAACACTTCTTATAATACCCCTGCCAAAATTAATCTCTCCTTCCCTATTTCTTCCATTGTAGCACTTTATAGCACAATGTGAGAAACATCATTCACAAACCACTGAAAGAACTTGGGGATTGTCAAGTAGGAGGAAGCTATGTACAATTGAGTGGTTGTTTGACATTATGCATCACTTTGTGCCTATCATGTCCTGACATTGGTGTGTAGGGATACAGGCCTTATTTTGTCCTCCAAAATATCTAAGACAGCAATTGGTATGCAGTATGGATTGTATTTATATCTATTTGTTTAATTAAGTGGGGAAATGGAATCCCCCTGGTCAGCAAAGAATTTTGAAGTTTTGTGATTGTTATTTGGAGCTTTATTTTAAATGATGAATAAATCAGGACTTTACTGGGATTCTCACAATTCCTAGAATTGCTTCCTTCTTTCCTTTTTTAAAAAAATAATGGAGACTAAAAAGTAGAAAGAAATAATATGTGGCTACAGCTCCTGTTTTAAACTGCTCTTACAAAAAAAGCATGCCACCTTTATATGGGACAGAGGCTTTAAAAATCTTAAGATTACATCACTGCCATTAAATTACTTAGGAATTCTGCTTAGAGAGGGAAAAATCAAACCTCAAACAGAAGAAAAGCACACCTCTTCATTGTTAAGGAAAGCAAAAGTCAAAGATTGCCATTGGAAGTATGGATGAATGAAAACTCACACTCTGTAGAAAGCAAATGCATTAAATTCACAGTGAGGGCAGGATGGGAAATCGAATGTGTCACCTTGCTGCTGCACTGGTGATGATCTTCAGACTGCTGGGGTTCCGGATAAGCTTGTCCAGAATGCTGACAATCTGCTCAAACTTGGGCCTGTTGTTTCTGTCTTTCTGCCAGCAGTCCAGCATCAGTTGATACAAGGCAGCTGGGCAGTCCATGGGTGGTGGCAGTCGGTAGCCCTCGTCCACGGCTTTAATTACCTGTGTGAGAAGCAAAGTTTCTGGAAACGTAAGAGATAAGGCTTACTTCACTTTTCCATGGTCAGCCTACTACTACAGCTCTTGTAAAGTTTTTATCTAAGTGAGTTCACATTTACGTTGCCAAATCAGATAATAGCTTGTCAAGTGGATAAACAATCTATTCTCAACGTGCTCTAGAGAGAAGATCAAGAGAAAGAAAGTGAATTTAGCAAAGAAGAGCTTATAAAGATCCTTTCCAGGTTGAATAGGAAGAAATGTTTAGAGAGATATGAAATTCAATGTGATACACACACACACACACACACACACACACACCATTATCTAGTTATATAGAGCCCTATATTCAATACACAGTATTGAATGCAAAGAAAATGAATATACATATATCCTTTATATCACAGTTCAAAGAATACCTTCTGAGTCATGTTGCTTTCCTTTTATAAATTCCAATGTGCTATACTATTAACTGTCATTTCATTAGGATTTTTAAATCATAGAAAGCAGTGGTTCTAAAACTCTTTTTTGTATCATAATCATCTGGAAGGCTGGTTATGGTACTGATGATCATTACGCTCTCACTCCCAAAGTTTCTATGTTCATAGGTCTAAAGCAGAGCCCCAAGTTTTGTCAACTTGAGGGTATCAAGAGTGGAGTGGTAGAGTCTAGCCTGTCAATCAGGTCTTAGCCTCATGATGCCTCCTTGTGGGCATGACCTTCTCATGAGGATTCTGGGAACTTCCTCTCTCTCTGCCTCAGTTTCACATTGAGAAATCATGTGGAGAATTTATGAGACCTGCAAGGAGCACCTTGCTCCCTCTGCTTCACCTTCACGTTGAAGAGATATGCTGAGAGAATTGGAGGAGCCATGTGGAGAACTCTACCAGAGCTGAGATGCTTCCACTGCCATTAGATCCAGAAAGACTTTTCACCCACTGGCTTGTGATCTTCCTACATTTGGCATCACTGCAAGTGGCAACATGAGTCTGAAGAGGAATTTATGGACTAGTATAGGACATATGTGCTAATATTGGACATATGGACTTGATCTGGACTGGGCTGGGATGTTTTCTCAATATATAATTGCTCTTTGATATAAAGTTCTCTCTTACACAAATATGAATGTCTCTGGATTTGTTTCTCTAGGATATATAGAAAGGTTGGGATATGAAGCAGTTAAAAAGAAATATAATTTTTCTCAGTATTACAAATACAAATTTACTTTTAAAAGAACTGAGAAAATTTTATATCTCCATAAGCTTTAAGTTGTTTTATCATTTGTGGGTAAAATATCTCAGAGAGGCTCTCATTTCCACTTTGTATCTTGAAATCACACTCGGATTCTGGCTAAGCACAAATACAACTCCTTGAATGCTGAATCATATGACAACAGTAGCGTTCCTTTTTTAATATTCATTAACAAAACATGACCTACCAGTACAAAAACAATTTGGGGAAAACCATGTCATAATTTTGAAAGATAGTGAAAGATTATATACTTCTATCCAAATACCTCAGTTTGTATGGCCAAGTGCATGTGTGAGTTTAGTACATTAAACGAAACAAAATGATAGAGAATAATTTAACTTTTCTGACTTTGGGATATATATCTAAGTAAATAAAATCTTGGCATAGATGCATTAATTATAACTACAAAGAATGGTAGACATCTTGTGTATCTTGTTAATGTTACATACAATTAGTTTTGCAACAAAAATCCATGAAATAATCCCTGTACCTATTAGTTATTAAATTTGGCCTTTAACTAATTATATCCTGGTTACAGATGCTTCCAGTTTGCAACAGTGATAATCCCTTGCCTAAGGTTCAAAGATAAAGTTAGAAAAGCAGTTCCTTTAACACCTTTGCAACACTTGGAAACAGTTTTCCCATTTCAATGTCATAAACTGGAGGCACCTGGATTCATTATGCTCCACTTCCTTGCACAGCTTGATCAGTTAATTCAAACCCATAACTCATTGACGACAAATACTTACATCCTGATTAGACATCTCCCAGTATGGTCTTTCTCCATATGACATCACCTCCCAGAGAACAATCCCATAACTCCAAACATCGCTTGCTGACGTGAATTTGCGGTAGGCTATAGCTTCTGGGGATGTCCACCGGATTGGTATTTTACCCCCCTTTGAATATGAAACCATACACACATACATGAGCAATGTATAAAACATATACATGACAGCAGCAAAATCTGATGAAATTTGTTTTGTTCTGAAATGAAACATGGGTTTCCACTAAAATATATCAATGCTCTTCTATTTTAATACTAAACAGGCAATATTAGTGGCATAGTATTGATAGCATTATTTATTTCAAAAATTATGAGGATTTTCAAAGTCATAAAAAAACAAGGGGAAAGAACCACTAAAATAGGTGATAATCGTAAAACTCTTTTGAAATATGATTGAACGATTGAATTCTACAACTTGTGAATCATATACCAATAAAAATATATTTTAAAAACCGAACCACTAAAATACTGAATGTATTAGGCCAAATTAACTGGAATATCCCATGAAACCATGACTCTAAATACAAACACCAAAAACTAAATTGCATGAGGTGTTTGGTTGTTTTCATATATAAACTACAACAGCACCTACATGTTTGTTAACACAGGTATCACATCACTCTGGCTAACTCAACTTTTTATAACTATGTAACTTATTGTCAGCAATTCAAAATTTCAGTGCAACTCAAGCATTAATCAATATGATTTTTCCATCAATGCAAACCAAAACTCAGTATTCCCACAAGCAATAACACTTTTCCCCATCTCTCCTCCCACTAGTAACCATTATTAACAGTGTATATCTGTATATTTGTATGTTCCTTCTTCTACGTATCAGTAAAATCATATAATATGTGCCATTTTGTAATTAATTTAATTATTTAACATAATGGCTTCAAGCTCCATCAATATTATAGTTTGTATCAAGACTTCATTTTTATTTCTGGCTGAGAGGTAATTTGATGCATGCCTGTACAACCTCTTGTTAATTCACACTTCCCTTGATGGCAATGGTACTATTTCTCCCTTTTGGCAGTTGTGAACAGCGCTGCAATGAACACTGGTGCACGTGCATCATTGGACTCTGCTTCCCAATCTTTAAGCTATATATTAAGTAGTGGAACTATTGGGCATATGCTGGTTCTATTTTAGGTTTCTGAAGAACTGACACCCTGTTTTACACAATAACTATATAATCTTTCATTGTCACCAGCAAAAGATAATGATTACAATTTGCTCACATTCTACACTGTTTCCAAAGTTCTGTTCTATTCATTGCATAGCGCGTAGAGTCTTAAAATTTTGCGAGTGATCATCCAAGGCACAACAGGTGGGTTCTCTTTGCCTAGACCAACAAACTAATAAAGAGTTGCATATTGAAGGAAGATACGGAAGGTTTCCTTACTGGCCTTCATGAAAAATTGCCTCTTTTGTTATGAAACCAAAACTAGATCGTGCCTGACTTCTATTATTGAACATTTTATCAAAGATTATACAGAGGGGGGAATATGCAGATGAGAATTTTAAATTCTCAGAGAATCCAGATTTTCTGATGTGATAGAGGTTAGATGAATCCCCAAAACTATTTTCCTAAGATAATCTTTAAATACTAAATGAAAGAAATTCCTTGATATATTCTTAAAACTAAAAAATAGTCTGGTGAACTAGCAAAGAATATTTACCATGGGATTTGTATTATTTGTGTTATTTCAGGATCTATGTATATGGGATCAAATTGACAACACCACTCAAAAAATTTAATAGGCACTTCAGGGGGTAATAAGTTCATTTCAATGGGGGAAGAAAGAAGAATGACCAAGAGAGTATGACAATGGTTTCAACACTCAAAGCTTAACAGCATAACTGAAATACACATGTAGTGTAGAAATGTGTATTAATATGTTTTTCCTCTGTATAACAGGCAGAATAAAATTAAAAAGCAAAATTATTAACACAACTAATTATATAAATTATTATATATTAATTAGTCTATAGACAAGCAAATCTGAAGTAGATGACCTATCTCATATATGAGAATTGAATAAAGTACTTCAAATTCACTTTTATTGATTCATCATAGATTTATGTTTTACTAAACAATCTTAGTTTAGAATGTCAATAAATTAATATCTTATAACTTAAACCACTTTCCACCACATAATATGTACAGATACATATTTGTTAGATAAATATATCTAAAATAAAAGTTCCCTCGAGAAACCTACTACCAATATCTTGATTAATGTACCAACTTCTTCCACCATTGATCATTAATGTTCTTCCAAGTACTAGGTAATAACCATGAGAAGTAGATAGGTACAATAACTATATTTGAATAAATTAGAGTCTAGCGAGGAACATTGTTTCTATGAGTCATGGGATATATATAGGTGCAACTATTATGACATTTGTTCAATTCATTTACTGATAAGCTGGATAACTAAGCATCGAGGGCCACTCACAGGGGAGGTTTTATGCTAGTCATTTTGAATAAGACAAATATAAATAACATACAGGTCCTTCTGTTTGGGATACGTTTGTCATGCAGGAAAGAGTAATGGTTGTGAACAGAAGTAAGGACCTACTGCATTATTTCTCAAATTTTAAAATGTATAAGAAAAATCATCATCAAGGATCTCGTTAAAATGCAGATTCTGTTTTAATCAATCCGTAGTGCAAACAGAGTCTGCATATCTAGCATGTTCCAACTGTGGCGGGTCCAGCTGATCAAGTACATTCCATTGAGCAGATTAAGTTGGAGAGTGCTCTCTATGCAGAGCTTGAAGCCTCTGGGTTTCACTGGAGAAACAGGAAAACTAATATCCATTTACTCTTTAAAAATAAGTATACATTGTGATACACCAATGCTACCGAAGAAGTACATTCAAGATGCACGGAAAGCATTGGTCGAAAACAAGGGTCAGAAATGATGGGATGCCGCTTGAAATGTTTCAACAAACTGAAGAAGCGCTGGAAGCCCTCACTCAACTATACCCAAAAATTGGAAGACAGCTGACCAACTGACTGGAAGAGATAGATCCCTATTGGTACTCATGCCTAGGTAAAGTCATTCATCAGAATTATTAAATTGTACAATCATACTGATATCATATGCAAGTAAAATTTTACTGAAGATCATCCAATAATTGCAGCAGGAAGCTACTAAAATTTCACGCCAGATTCAGAAGAGAACATGGAGACAGGGATATCATTATTGATGGCAGATGGATCTTGGCTCAGAGTAGAAAATACCAGAAATAGGTTTTCTTTTCTTTTATTGACTATGAAAAGGCATTTGACTGCATGGACCATAAAACAAACAGAAACTATAGGTAGCCTGGAAGAGTGAACAGTCCATAAAAATACACTGTGTTCACGAGGAACCTGTACACGGAACGAGAGGAAATCAGCCTGGTTTAAAGTCAAGAAAGGTGCGTATGTATGATTATATGCTCTCACCATAGTTTTTTAATCTGGGTGTTGAGAAAATAATCAGAGCAGCCAGACTATCTGAAGAACTCACTATAAGAATTGGAGGAAGGCTTATGAACAACCTTTGATATACAGCTGACATTTCCTGGCAGTGATTGTAGCCTTCAAATATGGATTAAAACGTAATGTTTAAAGAAAACAAAAATCCTTACAACTGGATGTGTAGGATTATGATAAACCCAGAAATGATTGTGTTTATCGAGGATTTTATCTTGCTTGGATTCACAATCAATGCTGATGGATTCAGCAGTCCAGCATTCAATAGCCATATTGCGTGAGGTAAATCTTCTGCACAAGAACTCTTGAAAGTGTTGAAAGCAAAGAACTTACTTAAGCTGTGCTCGACTCAAGCCAGGGTATTTTCAATTGCCTCATATGCATAAAAAATTGTACATTGAATAAGGAGAATTGAAAACTAATCCATGCATTTGAATTATGGCTAGCAAAGAATATTGAAGGTACAACAGACTGCCAAAAGAACACGCAGACCTGTCTTTGAAAAAATGGACATCAAGTTTGAGGGTTGAAGGGCAGTGAAAACATGAAAACTCCTCCTTGTACAAGATGAACTAACGCTGGACAAAATGAAAGAGCCTGAGGGCGGCGATAATGGCCTCAAACATAGCCATTGTGGGGATGGTGCAGGCCCCGGGCAGGGTTTTGTTTAAGGCCTGGTCTGGTTCTGACTGAAGATAGTGAGATTCTTTTTTTATCATCTCTCCCACAAATACAGTTGATTTGGCTCAATTTAGTAAGGTTCAAGTCTATAGTTGCTATTTATGCTGTTCAAAATATTTCTGATGAGTAAATGTTTGGTATGCACCCGTCTATCATGTGCTCCCCAACGTTGTTTCTATCATTAAGGCCACGTTATTGATCCCTATTCTTTGTTTCCCAGTTTTACATTCCAGTCATCAGTAACTATCAGCACATCTTGATTGCATGCTTGATCAGTTTCAGACTGTAAATATAGGTAAAATTCTTCAATTTCATCTTCATTGTCTTTAGTTACTAGCATGTCAATTTGAATTACAGTTGGATTAACTACTTCTCCTTGTACACATATTGCTGTTCATCTGTCCTGACAGGATGGTATTTGAGAATCGGTCTGGAGTTCGTTTTATGAAGAGAGTGATGCTTTTCGATTCCAGCGTTACAAGTTTAAAATTGCTAAGGCCAGTCCCTTTCAGCTCCCTAATGACTAGGATATCACCCTTTATACATTACAATTTAGGCTTGATAACTCCAATGTGCTTTATTCTTCCATGTTATGATTAGTAATAGATGTTTGTAACTGGTGTTTTTTATTTTGAGTTATGCCAGAGAAGCCAAAGTCAACCTTCTTTTGAAAAGACAACTCTGACCTTCACACTTGAGGGACTCAGATTTTCACACTATTTCAAAGCATGACCTACTCTTATCCCCACATTTTTCACTGGTGTTTTGTTGTTTTGAATTTCTTTTCTTAGAATTAATGTACAGGGTTTTCATTCCAGTCTGTTTCGGTATAGAAGCTTTCTGAAATCTGCCCACTATCAATGACTGATCTAGTAATTGAAATATTGGTGTTACAAGATCTCCATCCTCACAGAAACACTGAAGCTACAGTGATGTGGAGTG